CATCTGCTATCTGGGACGGAAGAAAAAATGATTCATAAGAAGGAAAAAATGCTAAAAATAATGAATACTTGGAAGAAGAAAAAATCTATTTATTCTAATAACAATAATTGTCCAATGACTGACAAATTAATATGCATGTTCAAATTATTTTTGTTATATTGCAAATATTTCTAGAAAATGGAGGATACTCTCACGACTCTTCCTTATAACCCCTAATCACAGCACAAACGCGCTCTAGAAGAGTGGCATGGCATGCCCTCACAATGTTGCCTTTGTCTCATTTCCAGTTGAGGCAACTTAAAGTCATTTTCAGCTATTATAAAATAGTGCTTTCTCTCTTCTGCCAACACTGTTTTTGCCATGAACACAAGCTGGCACCCGTCATTGACAACCTGGCTGAAGATGAGGTCAGGGGTTAGAATTTGCCCAGTTCCTTTGGATCACTTTAGACTCCTACGGGCATATTCACATCCCTCTGATCACTGACTACTACTTGTGGATGTTGAAAGATTCATCACTGCATACACCAGCTTTCTGCCCCCTTAGGGGCAATATATGAAGGGACAGTTAACAGCAATTTAACCCTTTCATCTCCATTCCATGTTTAACAACACCTTCTTTGCATATCTCTCTGTAATATGTCTCCAGCTGGTTAGAAAGATATCTTAGGGCTATTGTAATTTTTAACTCCTGGTTCTGAAATGCTCTTTATCTCCCTCCAGTAATAGAATGTGCACTGTGTTACTCACAGATTATACTGTAAATGTGCTAGTAACCTAAGCTTCACTTCCACAATGTATATCCTGAATAAATATTGTACTATATTCATTCAAGCACCAATCTCTAAAGTTTATTTTTCTAATTTTCATAATTTGTTCCTCTTTATATACGTTATTTTTGTTGCAATAAAGGACCTAGCCATTTGTTTTCTTTCTTTCTTATATGTAATAGATGTGGAAGGAAATTTTGTTGCTTTGAGATCAGCTGTTCCTCCTGTTCCTCCACCACATGCAACTTTCAACATCCAGTTCTTAGTGTCAGTAGACAGAGATTAAAAATGCATCTCCTCCTTCTCCACATTAACCCACTGTAAAACTTGCAACTGTAATAAAAGCTACTGAAGAAAATGCTTACTTTCAAAATTGCAGATATGCTACCTTTTCACCAACGCTTTTAAACGCAATGAGAAATGGTGGCTAGGCAGATTTGCAGCTAATATCAAGTCCTGTTTTGCAAGCAGCCGCACAATGCGTGCAACATGTTCTGGATACAAAAGTAAGAACTGCTTAAAACTTTACTTTTTTTGCAGTTAGGATGGGGAGATGTTTGTTGCTCTAGGACTTGCAGGTATAACGAGAAAGGGCATTGCTCAAATGATAATTCACATAATCCAGAGGTGGGTTTCAGCAGGTTCTGATCAGTTCTGGAGAACCGGTAATGGAAATTTTGAGTAGTTTGGAGAACTGGTAAATACCATCTCTGACTGGCCCCGCCCCCATCTACTCTCTGCCTCCCGAGTCCCAGCTAATCGGGAGGAAATGGGGATTTTGCAGTAACCTTCTCCTGGAGTGGGGAAGGAATGGAGATTTTACAGTATCCTTCCCCTGCCATGCCCACCAAGCCACACCCACAAAACTGATAGAATTTACATTGTTAAGCAAGACAGTTGTTAAGTGAGTCATGCCCAATTTTAGGATCTTTTTTGCCATGATTGTTAAGCAAATTACAGTGATCATTGAGTAAATCATAGCGATGTTACAATTCACAGAGTGGAAAATGCCAACTTATATCAGCTTAATAATCTTTCATATTTAGCCAGGGCCTCTGGATGTAAAGAAAAATAGTTAAAACATCCAGAAGAATAGCAAAACAAAATAGGCTAGGTCTGGCACTTTAAAACTACTTCAGAACAATGTATTTCGTAAATAATTCACTGAGTCATACTTAAACAAGGACTACATGGCATGAAGCATACCAGCACTATTTATGAGTGTTTCCATTTAAGCAAACACTGCACTTAGCCTTTAGAATATTATACCCTAGAAATGCTCTCATTGAAAAAAATATCAGGATTAAATGTACACCTTTGCTTCCTCTAACCCATATTTGGCCATACAATAGGTAAGCTTGTAAGGAAGGAAGCAGCAAGCATCTCCAAAGCTACTGAGCTTTCTGCCCAAACAAGCCCAGGAATATGTGCATGAGTCAAGTCACATTTTCTCCTTAGTTTTCTATTCTTCTTGCTCTAGGATCTCCCTTTGTGCTTGATTGAGATGGTTGCTTGACTCCAGTTAAAGGTGTGTATCTTTTCTTGGCTCTAATCTGTCTTGAACACAGCTCTACTATGCTCCATTAATTAGTATTTATAACAAATCCAATGAAGTGACTTTTATTTACAAAAGCTTATGTGATCTTGAACTGTTTGCTGCTTACAGGAAATTTTTAAAATTATAGAATTCTATCATTATCAAGCAATAACGAAAGTGTCACACAACCTATGAGTATAAGGGAAAAGTAGCATATGGTAACACTGCTGAAAGGTCTGGAAAGCAAACATATAGCAGCTACTGAAGCAACAAAGCCTGCCTTTATTGTACTCTGTTCCAATCAGTGGTGGGTTGCCCCTGGTTCGGACCGGTTCACAAGAACCGGTAGTAAAACCGGCGGGAGGTTTCACCCACTGCTCCGGATGTCGTCATAGGCAGAAGCGTGATCCCATTGCGAACTGGTAGTAAAAGTAAGGAAAGGTAAGTGGAACCCACCCCTGGTTCCAATCTAATATCCTGCAGATAGATTGGAGTTTAACTCTCTTAATCCGTTGCCAGCATGCTGATTAAGCATTATGAAAATTGAAACTACAACATCTTTGGAAAGAACCAGTTGGGAAGGCTACTCTATTGTGATATTTCTGCTGAAGGTTGAATCATGTACAAAATGGAAAGTAGAAGTTTAAAACATGGAATAGATCTTACCTTTGTTCCATTATTGCTTATTGTACCTGAGAGCAGTTGTCTAGAGATTCAGGCAAATGGCATTTATATCTTTCCTGTGGAAAATCTTTTTAACTAGAGATTCCAAGGACTGAACCTCAGAGCTTTCATACCATGTTGTTCTCCTTAAATTGTGGTCCCTACAGAGTTGCCCAAAGACAGTCCAACACATATTGGTAGGGTGTAAAATGCAAGCAGGAGCAGCATACACTGAACGGCACAATCAAGTAGCTGGCATTGTATACAGGAACATCTGCACAGTGTATGGGCTAAACCCTCGGGAACCCAAATCCCAGGGAGAGATTTCACAGAAAGTCATGAAGTGTAACAGAGCAAAGATCCTGTGGGACTTCCAATACAGACAGGCAGGTAACTGTCCAATCAGCCAGACAAGGACCTGAAAACAGTGATAGTGATCATTGTGGTAGCGCCAACTGACAGCAACATCAGGAAGAAGTATGAAAAGCTGGAGAAGTATCAGAGTCTGAAGAAGAAACTAGAGAGTACCGTATTTTCCGGCGTATAAGACGACTTTTTAACACATGAAAATCTTCTCAAAAGTCGGTGGTCGTCTTATACGCCGGGTGTAGTTCTCCTGTAACCAGGCAGACCAGCCCGAAAGGCTCTGACGAGCCTTAAATGGCTCTGGCGATCCCAGCTCTGGCGATCCCAGCTGAGTTCCCTGCAACTCAGCTGGGATCGCCAGAAATCACGTAAAAGGGAAAAAGTTTTTTACCTTTTACTCTGAGGATCCCAGCTCTGACGATCCCAGCTGAGTTCCCTGCAACTCAGCTGGGATCGCCAGAAACCACGTAAAAGGGAAAAAGTTTTTTCCCTTTTACTCTGAGGATCCCAGCTCTGACGATCCCAGCTGAGTTCCCTGCAACTCAGCTGGGATGGCCAGAGCCATGTAAAAGGGAAAAAGTTTTCCCCCTCCAGTTTGCTTACCTCAGTTGCTAATCGCAACGCTTGCCTTGCTTTGCTTGCTTGAATCTATTCAGGCAAGCAAGCAACTCCCTGCCTGCAATCAAGCAAGGAGTTAGTTGTGGACTTCAACTCCCAGAATTCCTCAGCCAGCAAAGCAAAGTTGGCTGAGGAATTCTGGGAGTTGAAGTCTACAAGTCTTAAAGTTGCCAAGGTTGGAGACCCCTGTTCTATTGGGTAAGATTTTTCCCCTTTGGGAGCTTTAAAAAAAATAGTCAATTGGGGTTTTTTTAGTTGTTCTTTTTTAGACCTAGCCATTTAGGAAGCCGTTTAGGAAGTTTTAAATTTAGCTTTCATATAAAAATAAAAATAAAATAAAATAAAATAATATTTGTGCAGCTTTCTGAGATTTAGTGTGTTTCTGTAGTGTTTCACTCCAACTACACAAACACACAAAATCTCACAAAGCTGTATGTGGAATTTTGTGTGTGTAAAGTGTGAAAGTTGGTTTTTTGGACTTTTTGTGGCTGTGTGAGGTTCCTGCTTGTTGCAGGGGCCATTTTGGGTCTAGCACAGCTGCTTTTACATTGTGGGTGAGCCAGTTGTGTTGTGTTGTGTGTGTTTAGAGTGTGAAAGTTTTTTGGGGGGGCTTTTTGTGGCTGTGTGAGGTTCCTGCTTGTTACAGGGGCCATTTTGGGTCTAGCACAGCTGCTTTTACATTGTAGGTGAGCCAGTTGATGTTTTTTTAATTTTTATTTGGTGTGCATTGGAAGAGGGGCAGTCTTATATGGCAAGTATAGCCCAAACCCTATATTTTAACAGGAAAAGTTGGGGGTCGTCTTATATGCCCAGTCGTCTTATACGCCGGAAAATACGGTATATGGAAAGCGGCCCCTGTGGCGATAGGGCCACTCGGCTGTGTCTTCTAAGCTGGGAGAGTAGCTCCAATAGATCTCAGGAACAACATCAGAACGTTCTGTCCAGAAGAGTACAGTGCTAGGATTAGCTAAGATATTGTGCAGAAACTTCAAACTCCCAGGCCTCTGGTAGAAGACCTAAGATTAAGAAAGACACATACCACCCATAGGGTGTGAAGGGATTTTAGTTTATTTAAAAGGATTTTAATTACAATATTTTTATTTATTTGTTTGTTTGTTTGTCAAGCATATATAAGATAACAGGTAAAAGTATAAACATAATTTGAATACATGAAAAGAGTAAGAGTAAAAAGGAATATTAGTACAGGGACGGTAGGCACGCTTATGCACTTATACAATAGTTAAAATCTAATACAAATGAAAAGAAAGAAGAATAGAAACGGTGAATGGTGCAAAGGAGAAGAAAAAACAGTATGAATATAGTAAAGAAAGAAAAAAGAAATACTGTATGTAAAGAAATTATTTTCAGCCTTCATCACAAGTATAAACAATTTTGTAAGTCCTCATCCCCTCTTCTTTTACAACCAATGATATTTTCATCCTATATCCATCCATATATCTTCATCACAAATCCATGAAGCATCATCTTTTTCCATCCTAGAATCAGCAGAAAATCCATTGTCAGAAATAATGGCTTGTCTTATCTTAACCTTGATCAAACAAAGCAACTTTAGATACCTTTATTTTATTCTAATGGTATTAATCTCTAGTCCATTCAAATAATGTAATGGGATTTTATTTTTTGGTTTCTTTTGTATGTCCAGTGAGCCATTCTTTTCCATGTCATTCTTGTACTTGTCATTTGTAGATCCACTGTCAATTCTATCTATGTTTTGTCAAATACAACTTGTTTCTAATCTGCCATTTCTTTCATAATATCTTTTGGACATAGTATATCGATGGAAGCAAATATCGCTATTGACATTGTTGATACTAACTTCTGATTTTGTTTTGCAGTTAACTATTAATCAGGCTTGTGTATGTTTCTTCTTTAACTAAATTATTTCGTTACCTACAGTGTCCAATTTATAAAATTGCTTATCTTTATTTTGTTTTGCAAAAGTCCAAACAAATTTATTTTCCATGGGAAGGATTCTTTACAATTAATTCCAAAATTTTATTCTAAATTTATCTGAATCCTTACAGTAAACTATTTGTAACTTTCTATCAGAGTCTTATTTAGCTTTTTGCTATTGTATTTCATTTTTTAAAAAAATTCTTAAGGTTGTAACTAAATTTTTCTTTCATTAAGGATTGCAGACCAATCCACCTAACATTTTCAGACTTGTCAATCCAAAGATCTCTAATAGCTTAAAAGTAGTTAACAAGCAATTTCCAAACATGATTAGAAAATGAAGTTTACAAACATGTTGTCCTTTAAAGCGCATCAAAGGTTGCAAACAAGATAAATTATTTATTCCCATCATCTAAAACTCAAAACTCACCAGGGACCGTTATTTTGTGGTCTTCTCATGAGGAGCAATTGTTTGGAGTGCATGTGAGTGATTTCCAGTTCTCTCCTTATCCAAAAAGGTTCTGAAGACCAATCTACTCACTGATTCTTTGTTCTTCACAATGGTTGTTGGTACCACTTTTTGTGAAGCTATCTCCAGTCTGCCATTTCTTCTTCCCAAAGTCTAAAAGATATCACTTTTTTCCAATGAAATACTTCCCCATGCTTTTGCTTTCCAATTTCCAATTCATTTAAAAAGGGGCTACAGGTGGAAGCCATCTGCTTCTGTTACATTGGCTCCTGTCATCTTTTGAAAGCTCTATTTGGCAATACCAGGCAAAATTTATTTTTTAACAAATCCTTGTCCTTACAATCAGTCACAGGAATAATTGTATTGTTAGACTATTTTTCTCTGAGTTAAATTTATCTTATATTTCTTCGTATGTTTGTATGTTTATCTTGTAATTTTATTACGCTTACCTGTATAATTTCATTTATAAGATGCTTGAACAAGACAGACTTCAATTCTAGTTAGTTCCATATGCTTAAACTGGATTGCTTTTATATTGATCTAGAATAACTCTTCTAGATAAGGATCTGAACAACAGAGTAAATAGAGAACACTTGGTAAAAGGACCGTTGCTAGGAAGACAAAAGTATTAGAGTACTTACATCAGGAGGCCTGAACAATTGAAATCATTATGGGAATTGAGGTCATGGAAATATTACACTCATTTTAGTCAAGAAAAAAAATATGTAAATGTATACTGTTCTCTCATTTCTGAATTCTCAATAGAGGTATAATTCAGAGGAGGAGCTCCTGTCTTCTTTCTTCTCAGGAAAATTAAAGGAAAGGAGATCTGGGGGACTACTGCAGAGAAGGCCTTGGCTTGTCACTTGTCAAAACAGTATAGTACTGAATTTCATCGTGAGTAGTATGTTGTTTCCTCTGCTCTTGAAACACCAGAAAAACTATGGGAGATCCAGAAGTAAGGTTATGTTTCATTTCAGTGGTGAAATCCTATTGGTTCTGTTCGGCTCACGCGAACCTGTAGCAGCAGCAGTGCATAGTTCGGTGAACTGGTAGCTGCGGCAGTGCAAGGCTCCACCCACCCACCTGGACATTTTTACTTCCTGATTTTAACCAGGAAGTAACCCATTTTTGACCCTTTGCGCATGTGCAGAAGGCTTTGTGCATGCACAGAGGGTCAAAAATCGGACCTGACGATGGCACACACGCTCGCTCCGCTCACACGCACGCACAGAACACGCACTTCTGAACCAGTAGGGAAGGTAAGTAGATTTCACCCCTGCTTCATTTAGAGGGCATGGGTTGAACTGAGTTTCACACTGGATGTGTGGGCATTCATGAAACAAGTTACAGGCATACAAACTCACCATTAAGCCTATGTGAGACAATCTTTATGCATACATCTAAAAAAATATGGACAAATAATGAAATGTACATGGTTTCCAAATCTAAATCTTTCCATGCAGAGCATGTTGACTTACCTATGCAGTTCATAATGCAGAAAAAAATGGCTGATACCAGTTAGTATTTTGAGACCCATAAATCCAGTGGTGGGATTCAGCCGGTTCGCACCACTTCGGGAGAACCGGTTGTTAACTTTCTGAGCAGTTTGGCAAACTGGTTGTTGGAAGAAATCATTAGGGCAGAGAACTGGTTGTTAAATTACTTGAATCCCACCACTGCATAAATCCATACACTTATCCCACTTCTGAATAAAGCATTGGAATTGACCCCAATCTGCTAAGCAGCTGTGTGAGAATAGATCCATACTTGCTATGCATGGATAACCTTAGAGTGATGCCAGAATAAAATGAAAGGTCCTAGCTAACATAAAATGAATTGACTAGCAAGATTGAGTAGGAAAAAAGATTTGCAGATCAATAATCCATATTGTTACTTTATCTGGTTCAGAATATGAGCAAAATGAAAGATGTTTTACATGAAAAACTGTGAGTGGAAGTAGGAACTAAAGAATTAAAAGAAATAAATGTATTGAGGGCAGGGTACCTTTACTACCGGTTTGCAGCGGGGCCGCGCAAGCGTGCAAGTGAAGCGAGCGTGTGCGCGCGCTCTTCTGCACAAGCGCAGAAGCGTTTTGATGATGTCAGGATCGGTGAGTGGAGCCTCTCGCCGGTTTTACTACTGGTTCTATAGAACCGGTGCAAACCGGGGGCAACCCACCACTGATTGAGGGGTATTATCTGAAAATAAGCTATAACATGATTAATTGACTCTGAAAAGGTACTGTTCTGCCCCAGCTCCGGATTTCTGAGGATATTGACACACACCAACGGTCCTTATCAAATTTATTAAGTAGCAAGAATAAACAAGACCGGCAAAGGTTGGCAACCAGCCCAGAAAACAAGATACGATAAACCAAAATACTCTGATAATAAATACGAGTTGTTTCCAGCAAGAAAGCCCTAGCTGCGTGCGACTTAAATGGGCTAAGGGAGTGGCCAATTATCTTCAAGCCCTACTCTCGAGTAGACCTCCTCCTCCTGAGTAGCCACTCCTGCCTTTTGGCAGCCCGTGCTCGAGCATTGAGGAGAGGCTCCTCCACTTCGCTCTCGCCACTTGAAGGAACCTCTGGAGGTTCTGAAGGCCCTGGCTGAGTCTCTGCCTCTGGCACCACATCCTCTTCAACCTCCTCACTGTCTGATGCGAGCGCTGGCTGCGCAGGCTGCTGGTGTGACACTATACCAGCCTCCTCTTTGTCGGGATCAGCCACGATCCGTGCAGGCCGCTGGCGGGCCACAACAGGTGTGTTGGCAGCTTTGAAGATGGTGCTCCTCATGATTTCTTTTTTAGTCTATGGGGAAACCTTAAATCCTACATTCAAGCAGAAATCTGAAAATAAACATGAAACAGAAAAAACATTTCTGAGTAATGGGCATGTTTGCACTGTTTACTGTGAGGTGTCAATCTCAGAAAACAAGAATCATATGGGATTCTGGAAAAATCTTTCTTGCTAGTAGGATGATGTAACTGAATCTCGAAAGCCTATCAAACTAATTACAGGTAGTCCTCTACTTACAACAGTTCGTTTAGTGACCCTTCAAAGTTACAACAGCACTGAAAAAAGTGATTTATGATGATTTTTCACAGTTACGACCTTTCCAGCATCCTCATGATCATGTGATCAAAATTCAGATGTTTGGCAACGGCTTCATATTTATGACCATTGCTGTGCCCTGGAGTCATGTAATCCCCTTTTGCGACCTTCTGACAAACAAAAATCAATAAGAAACCCAGACTCACTTAATAACCGGTGTGACTAACTTATCAACTGCAGGGATTCACTTGACAACTGAGGCAAGAAAGGTCGTAAAATGGGGCAAAATTCACTTAACAAATGTCTCATTTAACAACAGAAATTTGGGGCTCAGTTGTGATCATAAGATGAGGACTCTCTGTATACTGCATAATTTCTGCCAGTTATAATAAATTTAGAGTTATTCTTTTTCGTGCGCTTCCCTTACGCCTGGACTCAGAACCTAGAAGCAATCTGAGAGCATCTTTTCAGATTAATATATTTTATTAAAAACATTGCATGAGCTATAGTTTATGGCCTTGTTTCCTCCCTTAACTTTTCTCCTGCCTCCTCTGTGTTCCCAAGGCCTATTAGGCTTTCCATCAAATTCCTTCATACCTGAAGGACCAGAAGAAATATGAAGTCCACAAAAATTGAAGTGATCAGAAATATTTAACATTGCGGCAATGGGGACATTTGGGGTTAAAACAGGTTAAGGTTCCTTCAGTTGCCTTGGGCTTATGCAACAGGATGCTAAATGGGTTACAGCACGTACTACTTTTGATTCTTTCATTTCCTGGAATTTACACACCTACCCTAATGCAGCTGCCATCAAAATTCTTTCCTTGCATACCAAAAACACACTCTGCAGTAATGTTCACACATTCTATTTCACTTCTAGTTACAATTAAATGGTATTCCCTTTATGTTTTGGTTGCTATAATTTAATTTATTATTTGCTTATTGTAATTTAGTTACAATCTGAAGACCCAAATTGTTGGGGGCAATATGTTGACTCTGTAAACCACTTAGAGAGGGCTGTAAAGCACTGTGAAATGGTATATAAGTTTAAGTGCTATTGCTATTAATTTATTTAAACGATTTATATTTTATAGAATCACCCATCTCGCAGTAGTGACTCTGGGCAGCATACAAAGATTAAAATCATCAACGTATAACTCATGTCTTCCTGGTTAAATGAAACAGAGATACTTCCAGCATACAGAACAAGATTAATTCATGCTAGTCCCAAAATTAGAAATAGAAATCAAGTCTGTAACACGCCCTTCTCTGAGTCTTTCATTTTATCACTCTTAAACAGTCTTCTACTGAAGAAGGGAGCTAGTTTCCATTGTGATGGATATCTTAGCAAAGTCTTTGGGTGTGCCAACACAATGCTATCTTTAAGAGTGCATTGTCAGCCTGTGAGTCCTGAGTGCTATTAAATAAGCTAACAAAGCCAATATTTTCATTAAAACTGATCAAATAAATTGCAAATATTCAAGAGAAGAAGAGAAAAAACATATACTGAAGTATTATCTAGTCAATTCCTGTTTTTCTCCTTCTAGTCCAGGGGTATCAAACTGGATTCCTTTGAGGGCCGGATCAGCATTGTAGTTCTCCATGGGCTGGCCGAGGGGGGGAGGGGGGAAACGGGATGGACACTTCCTGCAGCATCCTGCCGGCCAAAACTGGGCATGGGGGGGCATGTGAGGGGCCCCCCATGCCCCATTTTGGCCGGCAGAGTGCTGCAGGAGGCTGTCCAGGCTGAAAATGGGGCACGTTTTGGCTGCCAGAGGCACCACAGGCCGGTCCTTTGTTATTTCCAGGCTGGCCCCACGGGTCAGATTTAATCACCCCATGGGCCAGATCCAGCCTGTCAGCCTTGAGTTTGACATCCCTGTTCTAGTCAATCAGCTCCTTTTTGTTTCTTTTCTTAACCACAGTATGTCCCCACTAAATTGCAATATAACAAGGCTGCTACAGTATGAACATCAACGGGCAAGGAAGAATTAAGAGATTTCAGAGAATTGAGAGTTTGAGAGATTTCCACATCTGAAAGAGCAGAATACTGAAACCTTGTCCAACAAATTTATAAGAAAGAAAGAATATGCAGAAATTCCAATGTTTAAACTGTTGCCTCTACGTCTGTAATTTTCATCCCTCTTCTTTCAGAAGAATTATTCATGTGAAAGCAAAATATAGAGCAGATATGTACTGAATAAACATCCTGTATCAGAGACATGAATATGGAGAATAGTAAAAAAGAAAACAGTTCAAATGAGTACAAAATAGTAACATATCACACATCTTATGGATGATAATTACAGAAGATATGCAATAAGGTAGAGTTACAGGTAAAACAATGAATGTTTTGTTTTTACATTTTACATTTTTACATTGATTCCATCTGTCAGGGTAATCTTTCCTGAAAGTTGTAAATTGAAGCAAGAAATATATTAACGTCTCTCTTACATTGATGATGATAATTTGTAGAAGGATTTAAAAATGTATTTATTTATTTATTTATATTTAAATTTATATACCGCCCTTCTCCCGAAGGATTCAGGGTGGTGAACAGCCAAAGGTAAAAAACATAGAATACAGAAATTTAAAAGCAATTTAAAATATATTAAACAATTTGGCCCAACAATTAAAATACCCCATTTAAAATTAAAATTAAAATTAAACAATTGGAGATGTTAGGCCAGCCCGGCTTGTTGAAATAAAAAAGTCTTGAGGGCCCGGCGGAAGGTACGTAAATCCAAAATTGTCCATATCTCCGGGGGAAGCTCGTTCCAGAGGGCAGGTGCTCCCACAGAGAAAGCTCTCCCCCTGGGGGCCTCCAGTTGACATTGTTTGACCGACGGCACCCCGAGGAGTCCCTCTCTGTGGGAGTGTACTGGCCAGTGGGAGGCTCTCGGTGGGAGAAGGCGGTCTCATAGATATCCAGGTCCTAAGCCATGGAGCGCTCTAAAGGTGGTCACCAACACCTTGAATCGTACCCGGAGGACCACCGGGAGCCAGTGCAGCTCGCGCAGGAGAGGTGTTACATGGGAGCGCCACGACATTCCCATAATCACCCGCATGGCCGCATTCTGGACCAGTTGGAGCCTCTGGGTGCTCTTCAAGGGGAGCCCCATGTAGAGAGCCCCATGTAGAGAGCATTACAGTAGTCCAAATGATGTTCTCTCTGCATTTAGGTAACTTACATACATTTAAATAACTAGAACTCTAGACAATCCAGGGTTGGCAGCCTATTTTGCATTCAGAATAATAATGATATCCACCCAATCAACTCAAATAAGCATAAGGAACTTAAGAGGGATTTTTAGTTGAGATATTATTTACTCCAAAACTTAGTAAGCCAATTTTGCTCCCTTAGTTTACTTGGTTTTCAAAGATCTGTGCCCATCTAATGTCAATAAAAGAAACATTTTAAGAATGCATTTAGTGCTACCAATTAACACATTACAGCCAGTTAATAATTTAGAGTGAAACTTCATTTCAATTATATAACTGGGTCTTTGTTGGCAGGTACCTGTGGCTGCAATGACTCTCTGTTGACTTTAGTTCATTAATGTATCTTTTCTGGCAGCAAAAATAAGAATGGAATTTGGCCGCTTCCACTTGATATCTATCGATCTCCTAATTCCATGTCACTGGCTTTTGAATTCCAGGCTGGCACTCCCAGCTTCTATGCTGTCATTTAGGGTAACTAGAAGCAAAGGTAAACAGGGCAGCCATCTCTTAACCATTAAAAAAGACTTACAAGTTCAGCTGAAATCCCGGTGAGCTGTCATGAGTTTTCTTGGTAGTGTTATGGATATAGTTTGTCATTTCTTTTTGCAACTTCCCAGTCCCACTAGCTCTAGAACAGTTTTTCCACCTTGGCAACTCGTGTGAACTTCAACTTCTCTGCTGACTGGGAAATTCTGGGAGTTGATCTGCTTTCACATATTTTCACATATCTTCAAGTTGCCAACATCGTGACTGTGAGTGGCTTGCAGCATTAAAATTCCACAATGCATTTAGTCTCAACTTATGACCAATTGCTTAGCAACCATTCAAATTTATGACTGACACAAAAAAGGGGAACTTACATCCTGAATTTGATGTTCCAACGATTGGGCTCCCTCCGCAGTCATTTGATCAAACTTCAGGCACTCAGCAACATGGCCATATTTATGACCATTTGCAGAGTCTCCTGGTCACATGACTGTATTTTACAATAGTTTTGCCAAAAACTAGCATTTACTTCTGGCTTTCGTCTAAAATGTGCCTATAGCAGACTATTGATTTGCTCAATGCCCATGATGTTCACTTTATCACCGTGGTGTTCATTTAATGAGTATCCTCAAAAAGTTGTAAAATTGGGTCTGACTGGCCTGTTTTACTATCATTAAAACATTATAGACAGGTTCAATTATGGTTGTATGTCGAGGACTATTTAATTTTCTTCTTCAAGCTACCCTAAATCCCATTCCCATGGTGGTGGCAAGCATAGTCACACCAGCCACTTGATCGGCTCCGTGTCAGCCTAGAGTTCCCAGGCCACTGACAGCACCATGTCTTCAGAGCCTTCTGGAAAAATATAAAGGTGGGGGCCAAATTTATCTCTGTGGGAAAGATATTCCAGAGAGGGGGAGCCACCACAGAGAAGGCCCTTATTCTAGATCCCACAAGATGTACTTCCTTGCTAGATGGAACTCATAACATGCCTTGCTCTGGTGGTCCACTAAATGTAATGATGTCATCTATTAGGACCTTTTCTATAGAAGTATGACTTTTGTAGCAGCATGCCCTCTGAAATCAGTCCCCCCCCAAATTTACCCATTTACCCTCTCTACTGTCAGTTTGATGGATGAAGAGCCTGAAGATGTGGTTTTTCACTCTTGGCAAAGACAGTTGATGCTCGTTTTCTTCCTTTCCCTTATTCCCATCTAAGTTTGTTTTCTCTGCCTATATCACCTTTATCATCAGTCTGAATCTATTGTTGTTTAAGTGTCAGTCCAATTCATTTTACAGTTTTCCAGAGAGTAATGCATTCATATCTGATACTGTCAGTTCACTCTGTATCAAAACCTGAAAATTGTGGGAGTCCAGGCAAGAAAATGTTGGGTATAATATAAAACCAATGATAATTACCAGTACATAAGATATTTATTTCAACA